GTTTTTATTTTATAATTGTATTTATTTTTACGTGTTTATTGTTATATAAAATTTTGTGTGAAAAAAGTTTTAATTTTTGTGTTTTTTTCCCTCTGGTATGATTTTCTGAATAATGACACATATAAAGTGTGGAAATTTTTAAATAAAAATTGTCGGCATTATTTTTCTTGGAGAAATTTTGAATTTTATTTAATCTAGTTTTTGATAAGCTAATTAAAAAATAGTGTCCGATACAAAAATTTTGAGTTATTTGAAAAAATGTAAAAAAATGTCCCGAAACTTGTATGATAAATATGTAAAGTACATTAGGGGGTGTTTAAATTATTCAAAATTATTTATCAAAGTCTATAAGACAATTTATACAGAATTTTAGTATATTTTATCTAGTTTCTGCTAAGATAACTAAAAAAGAGTGTCCGAAACAAAATTTTTGAGTTATTTAACAAAATATAACCAAGTGTCCCGAATCCATTGATAGTAAATACGCAAAAAGTATGAGACTAGCCCAAATTATTCAATAATTTTATATTAAAGTGCTTAAGGGGTTAGGGGTACTTGCAGGCACGAAAAAATGAGTGTTTTCAGTATTTTTTTTTTGTTATTAAACGATGTTTTTCTACAAAAATATTAATACAGCATTATTATACAATGTTTTGACTTGATGTAACAAAAATTTCAGAAAAAAAAAATTAATATTCCCAAAGTTACAGCCGTTTTTGTTGACCCTGTTTCGAAAAACGGTCCTGGCGGTGACCATCATAACTCCTTAGAGATTCATCTAAAATCAATCAAATTAAAAAAATAGTTTTATGAATAGTTAATCCCGGGCCGGATCGAAGGTTTTCTTTTTTTTGCAAAAATTAACAAAATGGCAGCATCAGAAAGAAAAAATCTAAATTTTTGGGTAAAAAATCAACAGTTAATTGGTCTTAAAAAATTCAAATTTTTGAAAAAATAAAAATCCTTCGATCAGGCACGAGTTTATTATGTATTCTAAAAGCTGTATGAATTTCATTCAAATTTACTAAGTGGTTTTCGAGTTACAGTGGTCACCGTTTCAAAAAACATAGTTTTGAGAAAAACGCGTTTAAAGTTTCACATTGGATTTACGTACAGAAATTCGAATTATTGAATTACTTAAACCGAGCCATCTATATCTGGGCCATATAATAGTTTATCAGTCATTGTGCAAGTTTCCAAAATTTCCATTTGCTGTTGCCTACAAAGCATTCTGGCCTCCTGAGTGTTCTCGTTGGCGCGCTGATCTGCCACTTTCACACGTGCCGCATCCAGTTTTTCAGCATACCAATGGGAATTATACACACAATTAGGTTCTAGGGTATCCATAATCAATAATAATAATTATGTTTATGCATTCAGCAATTTGTACGATAGTAAAACTAGTATTCACGGTTTCTAGGTATATTTTTTACACTAGTTGGTTGAAGCTTTTAATTTTTTCTGATTATGGATTTAATCTTGAACTACACATCTTAAAAGTAAATTATCATTGCTGAGATCGTCGTAAATCGGTTTGAAAGCGTTTAAAACATCAGGAGGTGAGGGAGAATGATCTTGAGTATAAGTATCGAGCTCTCCACTTGCGTCAACGCGCTGGTAAGAGTCCAATAACTCAAAAAGTAATCATCGGATCAACTTGAAATTTTCAGAGAATATTTTCAAGATCTTACCCTTAATGAAAATGCAAAAAAATAAAAATCGATTTTTCAAAAATCCCAAGTACCCCTAACCCCTTAAGACAGTATATAGAGGATATTAGTAAATTTTATCTAGTTTCTCCTAAGCTATTTAAAAAAGAGTGCCCCGTACAAAATTTTTGAGTTATTCAAATAAACGTAAAGTTATTCCCAGCCCTCTGTTTAACGATAGTTCTATTCAATGTCCATATTTGGTGATGTTGGTTTTACTAAAGAGACGGACACGCGAACAACGAATATAAATTTATATAAATAATTATTATACGTCACTTTTACTGATTTCTCATTTCTTTAATTAAACTTTCACGAAGATGATAATTAATAGATTGATAAATGAACTTGGATGGAAATAATTAGATAATTAACTTCAAGCTTGTATTGTTGGATCCGGGTATTCTTTATATTTTTTCAAATAACTCGAAAACTTTGTTTCGGATACTCTTTTTTCATTGGCTTAGCAGAAAGTAGATAACATTTAATAAAATTTGTTATAAACTGTGTTTTACACTTTGATACAAAAATTTTGCATAGTTTGGGCTAGCTCTAATGTATTTTGCATATTACAATATATGGTTTCGGGACACTTTTTTACGTTTATTCGAATAGCTTGAAAATTTTGTTCAAGACACTCTTTTTTTGTTGGCTTAGCAGAAAGTAGATAACATTTACTAAAATTTGTTGTAAACTGTTTTATACACTTTAATAAAAAAAAAATTGCGTGGTTTGAACTCGTCCTAATGTCTTTTGCATATTTTCAACATAAGGATTCGGAATACTTTTCTACATTTTTTTTAAATAACTTAAAAATTTTGCCCAGGACACTCTTTTTTTATTGGCTTAGCAGAAAGTAGGTAAAATTTACTAAAATTTGTTATAAACTGTCTTATACACTTTGATACAAAAATTTTGAATAAATCCATGTGAACTCGCCCTTACGTAAGCTTGTCTTACCAGATTTCACGGCATTTTTCCACATTTTTCTGAATAACTCAAAAACTTTATCCAGGACACTCTTTTTTAGTTAGCTTAGCAGAAACTAGATAAAATTGACAAACATTCTATACAAACTATCCCATACACTTTCATACAAAATTTTGTATATCCAATGTGAACTCGCCCTTATACTTTGTCCTGAGTTGGCCAAACAGGATTTGGGACGTTTTTTTAAATTTGTCTAACAAACTCAAAAACTTTGTTCCGGGACAGTCTTTTTTAGTTATCTTAGCAGAAACTAGATAAATTTAACTAATATTCCACTTAAACAGTATTATACACTTTCCTACAAAATATAGTATAAAACCCATGTGAACTCGCCCTAACATATTCATTTATCTTTTCAACCTTCATTATCGCACACATATTCCTCATTTTCTTATTATTATTGTTATTATCGCATTATGCACACTTTTTCTATCGTTATTCAATTCAGTATTTATTTATAAATTACAAATTATAAAAAACACGATTTATAATAACGTGTGAACAAAATACAAAACGTGTTTGTAATACAAGAGGAATTAGAAATGCTTTGGCAGAACAAATTGGATAAAAAATAAATATATATATATATATATATATATATATACTAGCAAACCCGACAAACTGCGTTTCGCCAACAGATGGTTTCGTGAGAAAGATGAAGAATTTTTTTACCGAATTTATTATTATGTGGTTATTTGACGAAAAATATATATACCAATAAAAGCATTGAACCAAAGTATAAATATCAAAAGTGCTCAGTATTGATAGTTACTAAATATTCGATACTATTACTAGGTAGTAAGTAAGAAGTTAGATTTTTTGCGTAAAACGCTTGACTGCCCAGCAACCATATAGGATTTTGACAGTTTTTAGTACCACTTTATATGAAAACTGCTACATAACATAGCCTTGCCATAACATTAGTTTATTTTATAGTGGAAAATGACAAATATAGCCAAATATAAAAGATAGATGAAAGCGTTTTGATCCTTGAAATCATATCGTTTCAATAGCATTTGATATCTTATCAGTCTGCAGTGGTTGCAGAAAGGTTTTGTATATATTAATTTAGATTTTTATACCAGTATTTTAATTTAAATCAGTTTGACTTCTTGAAGAAGTAACTTCCTCTATTCAAACTTAAAAAAAGAGTTTTAAACCCTAGAAGCCACAAATTAAATAACAAAAAACTTAGAATTATTATATCAGGCTTTAAAAACAATTAAGCATAATTTGGTCGCAAGTATGAGAGAATTTTCTATTTCAGTAGTAATTTGATAGACGTTCTCAGTTTTTTGAAATCATATTTTATTAAACAAAAAAACAATTAGAATGTTTAAAATTAATTAATTAAAATTGCACGGAACAGACAATATCCGAGTTTAGCTTAATTGTTTTTAAAACTAAAATTGATATTAACAAGTATGTATCAACATATATCTAATATTTTTTTATTTTTTTTAATTTAATGAATGTTTTTTATTTAAAAATGTACTATTTTTATTTATTCGAAAACATTCCTTTCAGTATCATAAAAATATTTTCATTCTTATATGTGAAAATAATGCATGAATAACGAATCATTATTTCCATAGTTACTTAATCGAGATAAACTATTATTTTTTAGTTCTACTAATTAAAATTAAAATAATTTTGTTTACTATCTATAAAATTGAACAATAAATAAATTCAGTCAAAAACTGCTCTAAATTACACTATAAATTATCGCGGATAAATTACAGAATATTCGAGCAAAAATGTATTTTCTATATAAAATTCGAAAACCGGTTTTTTAGTAAAATTAAAATTCGAAAACCGGTTTGCTGGAATGTCGGTTTTTGTATAAACCCTACTTGCGGCCCGTTTACTAACGTTTTTGTATATAAATAAAACTACAAACAAAACTACTTACCACAATTTAATCATAAATAAATAATATTTACGTAAGACACATCCTATTAAACGTAATTGAAAATCATTTGCCAAAAACGTTTGACATTTGACGTATTAGCCACCGTCCATTGTTTTATTTAAATTACGCTTCTACAAAAATTTTCTAATTAAAAATGTAAGGTTTCTACGCGATATTGAAATAATATCTCACCTTTCCGACAACCTACTGATTAGTACGAATTTTTCAAGACTAAGACTGGCCAAATCGGTTTAGCCGCTTTCGAGTTTTACCGAATCATTTGATAGAGAGCTTTATTTTTATATATAAGATATATGTACCTGATACAACTTATCTTAAGGCAAAACGTTACTTACAACTAGTTACTAATTCTGTTTCCTCTTCCCCAGGAGGCAGCCTCCAAGTGCCATAGTGAAAACAAAAAGTTCATCCTCCATAGTTCTCATATCAAAAGAAAAGACTTCTTCAACTGCGCCTGAATCGAAGCAACTACAACAACGTCCAGAAATTTGCGATGAAGTGCCTTCTACTTTGTATGGACTGCGCCGCAGCCAGACGCAACCTCTGAGAGAACCTTGGAGGGAATCTCGGCTAAAGAGTAGTGACGAGGAGGACAACGAGATGCCGGGAGGAGCTACGATAGCTGAGAGGTGAGAGAAGTGAAACTTCTTTATGCAAGAGTAGAATTTGGATTATTATTTGATTTTAAATCTGGTGGTGTATGGTTAGGTGTCTTAAGGCAAATTGCTGGAACTTCCCGTACCGTAATGAAAATTACGGTACGGGAAATTATAACTGTAAATTATATTATTTGTATTTTGTAAGTTTTTTGTCTGATTTTCCAGATTGGCCGCTTTGAAAAAAAGTGGCCAAAATGATTGGAGGAAAAGAGTGTCACGATTGGCCCCAGATGAGGATGTTTCGGCCATTATTAGTCGTGATGTTGGGAAACCTTTGAAACAGGTTAGTTTATATAAATAATTTGTATTTATATATATATATATATATATATATATATTAAAATTTTTAAATAAATCTAATGTGAACTCCGCCCTTAACATTGCTCTAATTATAAGTTTTCCATACAAGGATTCGATACTTTTTTTACATTTTTCTGAATAAGTCAAAAACTTTGTCAAGGACACTATTTTTCGGTTAGCTTAGTAGAAATAGATAAAATTGACTACAGTTCTCTATATATAGTTTAATATAGTCTTATACAAGTATTATGAATAAATTAAGTTTGAACTTGTCCTTATATATTATTCTAAGTTTGTCATATAACGATTCGGGACATTTTTTGATATTTTTATGAATAACTCAAAAACTTCATCTAGGACACTCTTTTTTAATTAGCTTTGCAGAAACTAGATAAAATTTATTAAAATTCTACACAAATTGTCTTATACACTTGCATATAATTTTTTTTAACAGTTTGTATGAAAATTTTGAATAAATCAACTGTAAATTTTTTCTTCTGTATTGTTCTAAGTTTGCTATACAAGGATTCGGGACATTTTCTGTCATTTTTCGAAATAACTCCAAAACTTTGTCTAGGACATTCTTTTTAAATTAGCTTAGCAGAAACTAGATATAATTTTTATGATATTTTCCTATAAACAGTTTAATATAGGCTCATATAATTTTTTTATAAATCCAATGTGACTATAGCTCTAACTTTGTCATACAAGGATTTGTGACATTTTTATAAATATCTCGAAAATTTTGTCAAAGACACTCTTTCAGTAGTTAGCTTAGCAGAAACTAGATCTAATTTATTACATTTTTTCTATATGAAGATTATTATAGTTTGAAATAAAATTTTTGACAAAATCCTTTACATATTGTCCTAAGTTTGCCTTACAAATATCAGGGCATTTTTTTACATTTTTCTCGAAAACTTTGTCCAGGACACTCTCTTTTAGTTAGCTTAGCAGAAACTAGATAAAATTTTCCACAATTCTGTATAATTTTATTTAATGTTTGAATATTACTGTTATACCAAACATTTTCCTATTGTTTTGTGATTTTTTTTCATATCATTTGTGCACTGAAGATGAACCAAAAAACCGTACAAAAACGTTTACTAATATTTTTTTTTAAATAACTTTGCATTTTTTCTTCTTAGTGAATAAATGCTTTTTATTTTCAATTCCTTTATAAAACAATTATATATTGATGAAAACAAAATATTTCTTAACTAAAAAGAATATATTCATACATTTCGAGTCTCAATTTGACTTTTCTTTAGTGGACAAAAGACAAAAAATAATTTAAGAAATAATATAACTAAAACCAAAACTTTATAATAAAACAATTAACAAAAATATTATTAAGATAAAATTAGTGTTGAAAAATTACTGACATAAAAAGAAACATCAGGACTCGAAACGTATGTGACATTACTTTGATTCTACATTATTTAAATAGCAATTTTATGAATACCTGAAGAACTAATGGGACATGTCATAAAATACATTTATTTTATTATTGTTCAACAATTTTAGACCTAATAGCTTGAAAACAATTAAAAATTAAAATTTCATTTAATTAAAATTAAAAATTTGTTTTTAAATCATTTTATTATCATTTCGACGTATCACAAATTCATTGAGAAATTTTCTATTAGATTTATATGCATTTTTCATTTTTTAAATATTGGAATCTAGTCAATAATTTTTATAAACTTCTGTTTATAAATTTCATTAAAAATTATATTTGTATCATAGGCAAAATGACTTATTAAGAGTTGGACTCGTCTTGACACCTTAGTGCCTACAGACTTGTAAAATATTACAAAAAATAGCAAATTTTAATACAAATTCAATCGCATTAAAATTTCATAACTAGTTATCAAGAATTTTATTTAAAATTTAATATAAGTGGAAACTTGTACGCAAATTTTTCCTGCCTCAAAGCTTTCTGCTGTTAATGAGGTTGAATAGGAGTCTGACTCGTCTCAAATCCACACCGGTGATCGTAGAAACTTGTAAAATATGTCAAAAAATAGCAAATTTTAATACAAGTCGAAAGGTATATAAATTTTACACCCGTCTTTTATCACTTTAGCACAATAATGGATTTACATCGAAACTGGCACGCATTTAGTTTTTGGTCAAATTATTCTAAAGTCTTCAATGTTTTTGGCTAGGGAAATTTCTCTAGAAATGTATTAAGTTGGCTCGGACATTTATCATCATATTATTTCTGGACAACTAGTCGGCTTGCGTCAGAAATAATTCTTAAGTCTAATTTTAGATAAAATTGCTTCTCTTCTCGGCAGGGGATCGAACCTCCGCCGAGGCGAAGAGTCTAATTCCAGTAATAAAATTAAAATACACATACATACATACATATATATATATATATATATATATATATATAACAATACACTACATACACTGTATATATATACATATATACAATACAAATATATAATGTAAATAACAATACACTACATACACTCTTTATGCTTTTCTGCTCTAACATTATCACAGGAAGGTCTACAGACTTTGTAAAAACATCAGTTCAAACGCATTTTTAAAGAAATTAAAAAAATGATTATATACATTTTAATCTTTTATCAACTTTCATAAATTTTTTCTTAAATTCATGTATCAATCTTATTCTTATATAAAAAATGATTGAAATCTCATAACGATGAACACGTACGATAACGTCAACAAGATTTAACCACAAATCGGTTTTAAATTCAAATTAATATATATATATATATATATATATATTGCGGTGAGATTTAAGATTGAATTTTAATTTTAATTTAAACATTTTACTTACACGCTCTCCTAAGCACACAACGTGTTGAAGGTGTAAATCGAAATTGCATAAAACGAGGAGGCGAAATTTCAATTTCAATTTGCGATGAGATTGATTGGATTTATATATATATATATATATATATATATATGTATATATGTATATATAAACTTTTACCCTTCCACTACAAACCCCTATTTCGTAATATTCATCCTAGTAATCAAATTGTTTTTCATCCGCCACTTGATCGTTTCTGTGAATTATTTTACATATTTTTATTGTTTATAAAAATTAATTTTTTCTGAGCCAATGACAAAGTTGAAATTTGTATTTAAAAATAGCTATATAAAATATTAGGACAATAGGGTTTAGACTGAAAACTATCTTATTACTATTTTTCGAGCTTCCTTCCAAGGACATTGAAGGAATTTCCTAATTGTAGGACAAAAATTGTGGCAAGTCGAACTCCTGGTCAAATATCAGTTGCTATACGAAGGTCATGAAAATTAAATATTTTATTTATATTATTTAAATAAATAGTTCTATCAAACACAAATATTGTTATCTTTAACGCCAGGACTGTACTCGAAGTCTGAGCTCCTCAATTGCCAATAATAAAATTTTTGTGTGCAGGTTTTTGAGATCGATTTCAAGTATCCTGAGATGCTGTAGGGCATTATGATGTTAGAGAACTTTATTTATCATTTAATTCTGAACAGATTTGCCGAATATACTATTTAAATTAAACAAAATGTTTAAAAGTTACAAACGATGAAACAAATAAATGCACCAGAATGATTCAATGACCGATTAGGAGTTCGACTCGCCTAAAGTCCACAATTGTGATCTTACAGACTTGCAGAATATGTCAAAAAGTTACAACTTTTTTACTCAATCGAATGGCACTTAAATTCTTTAATTATCTAACAAGATTTTGGCGTAATATCTAAAATAAGGTGAAACTTGTACGCACTTTAAATTGGGCACATTCGTCGGTTCTAATTTTCTAGTCATGTATTTTATAGAGGGAAAATGATATAGAGGGAAAATTGTAGAATAGTAAATTTATTCCTAATGACAATATTTTTATATTTTTTAGCATTTATATCTTGAGTGCTTTCCAATAGTAACTGGTACGCATATGAGTATTTAGGAGTCTGACTCGCTTTTAGTCCACATCTTTGGTCCTACAAGTTTCCAAAATAGCTTAAAAAAATACTAATTTTTTCCCAATCGAATGGCGTTTGAATTTTATAAATATCTCTTACAATTTTGGCATAAAATTTAATACAAGTTGAAACTTGTACGCATAGCAAATCGACCAAGAGCCTAAAGTAAAACTCACTTCAAATCTACACTGTTTGTCCTACAAACTTGTGTGATAGCTCAAAAAATAGCAAATTGCGAAAGGAATCAAATGATATACAATATTCATACCTATCTTTTACAATTTTGGCATAAGATTTAATTCAAGCCAGAACCTATACGCATTATTCATTTAACGCCTTTTTAGCCTCTAACACCTCACATTCTCGTACAAAAACATCATCCACAAATCTTATTATATCTATATTAATAACAAATTATATTTTAAATCTCAATTTAATAAAAATAAACCTCGATCTAATTTATTTATTTTATTAAATCCCTTCCATGATTTCAAGTTCCGCAGAAGAAGCGTGACGTTTATTTTATATCTGAGTTCAGTTGCAAATGTGCGCGCTCGGTGAACGGATCATGTCGCTCGTTTTTTTATTTTTTTTTTAATTAAATCAAGTGTTAATTAAATTAAATAAATTTGAAATTAAGTGTTAAAATGCATTAGTGATTGTGTGGTGAAGGAATTATGTAAATATATGTAATGGATTTGTTGTAATTTGGTTCTGAAGAGAAATGTGTGCGGTTCAAATTTAGTGTGTGAAAAAAATCCAACTTTTTCATATTTTTTTAATTATTTTTTTATTTTTATAATGTTTTTTTATCCAAAATAAATATGTCTGGGCTTTTATACATTTTATAACAGTTCTTGTTTATATAAAAGATTTTGCAGTATTTTATTTTAAAAAGTGTTTTTTAGGGTTTTGTGGTTTGCGCCTTCTCTAAAAGTTAGTTTTGGTTTAAAATTTGGTCGGTTTGGTTAATTTGGACAATTAACCAAATTTTGGAAATTAATAATGGTTATTAAG